CCTGATTTAGAACATGTTCTTGGAATGGAAGAAGACTGTTAGTCATTAAGTACTCGAAAACGATGCTAGAACTATCGATTATAGAGAAGACCTAGTTGCTGAAGTGACAATTGCACTGTCGACATCAGCTGCGAAGAATGACGATGTTAACGGACAGATATCGAGTACAACCGTCTATTGTTGAAATTTATACGCTGCACATCGGACTTGTCATGTGATAGTCAGTACGATCCAACATCACTTCCTATTTGAAGCTGGCTTTAGCTTGTTGCTAGTTTAACGATGCTTAATCGAAAGAACCCGTTTCGGCCAACACTAATTCAATCCATGTAGATGACAGCACATGTTCAACAAACAATAAGAATCAAACCACTTTTCTGAGGAGAACGGCATAATTCCGGATTTCGGAGATCCGTGGAAGAAAAACGATGATGTGCCGAGCTCATTATCATCTTCATCAATATAGATTGCTAAAGACGGATTACATATTATGTATTACCAGTTTCTCTGCTTCATAGCTATATTGATCTTTATAAAAATGAAAATTGAGAATGGAAACTGGAAAGCTCCGACATTTGGCTAAATTTTGCCATCGAATCATTATCGACACTATTCATAAAGAATAAATAAAACTCTCGGTGTTGATCAATCTCTGAGGGATGCGCCAGCCATGCATTCGACCTCATTAAGTATCGTTGGAGGTGAATAAATGCATATCTGGCCTTTACAATGACTCGCGGTGGCCCATCGATGGATCAGGCCAGTGCTGCTATCTTCCCAGACAAGTCTGGTACCAATTTGCCAACTCCAGAGAGATGGAGGACTTGGTGGGCCATGGGTGCGCGGACCGATTTCACGTGTGTGCCGAAGTGGCGCATTCACCCATTGCGCCACACGCGTCCTCTACTATTCATAAGAAAAACAGGAGAAAAACCATGACTGAGCTCTGTAACTCAAATGTAAAAACAAATGTAAAAAATTTATACTTGTTATAAACGGTGTAAGACGTTGTAAAATGCACCGATGAGTATTAACTAAGAAGGAATTCAAAAGCATGAATATTAATGCTAACCGTAATAATGCTGAGATATTTGCAAAACTCCGAATCGTAGGTGTCTGCGGTTGGGAACGAACGCGCTGTTACAATTTCCGGGAGCTAACGCGTTCATCACCACACCATGCAGATCCTTCGTTTCGCCTGTTTCTCAGTTAGTTTTCTATCGATCAGTGCCATCAGCAACCACCTGTCAACGGAATTGATCTGGTTAGCCCTAATCCGGGTTGAACCCGGTTGACGGGTGATTGCTTATGGCACTGATCGCTAGAAAACTAGCTGAGAGACAGGCGAAACGAAGGACCCGCATGGTGTGATGGTGAGCGCGTTAGTCTCCGGGAAGGGTAATAGCGCGTTCGTTCCTAACCGCAAACACCTGTGGTCCAGAGCTTTGTAAATATCTCAGCAGCATTACGGTTATATTTCACATAGCACCCTGCCGTGAAAAATTGCAATAGGTAGCAAATAAAAAGTTAACATTATGAATGTTAACTCTTCATCTACCACCTATTACTATTTTTTCACGGCAGAGTATGATGTAAAATACAATCACATGATGCTGAGATATTTGCAAAACCTGGATCCTAGGTCAGGTTTGAGCTAGTGATTATCTTTTCTGGAAGCTCACATGTTCCTCACTGCACCACTGAAACCTTTGCTTTGCCTTCCAAATATCGGTTAATGTAAAGGTACCATCCGTTTTCTTTTCAACTAAACTTCCCACATAGTCATTCATTTTAAGATAAACCTATTCAACTGCATATGCTTCACGTTGTTCTATGGCTCTTCACTACATTTTCAGTACACATACGAGCTCTCTTTCGAGAAAGTTCTGCGATCTTCGTGCATTGAGCTGATCCAAGTTAATCCCGAATTAATAAAATTCATCTGTTTAGCTTTTAATCAGTGCCTGTTTTCCTTCCTAGAAGAGTATTATGTGAAGTGCAATCACGATGCTGAGATATGAGCAAAACTCGGAACCAAACCCAGGTGAAATCCGAACCCGCGATTACATTACCTTTTCCTGGGGCTCACGTGTTATCCACTGTACTACCGAGGCCCTTGTGTTGCCTTTCTCTCAGCCAATATTCTACTCTTAAAAAAATTCATACGGCTTAAGATATGTATTACTGATGTGATAATAAGAAGGTAAAAAGCAGAGTGAATAAGTTGGACGACCCAGAACATCTCATCCAAGTTCTCCCAGATGTTCGTGCAGAGTCGGTGAAAAAAGTGGCTTAGTTTCGGGATTATATGACCTCAGTATCGAGCTTCTTGACCAACCCTAGTTGCCGTAATCGGTTTCAAACAGCTGCTTAGTTAATACCAAGTAGTACAGCGACCTCTCAGTCGTTAAGCGTTTTCACTGTTAACTAAAGCGAGGAACCGTGAGCGATACTTCACTATTTTGAAAATGTCAAAACTCCTTTCACGAGATCATCCGATAAATTTCTATGGACTCTTGAATCGCATCCTCTACCCCCATACCTGTCTCTTGGTTCTCCGATGTAGTCTTGATTTTGCGGAAACGAATGATGGACAGACTTGGTTTTTTACATGGTCCTTGATTGGTCGACCAAGTAACAGCACGAATCGTTGGCACACCGGAAGCGACGAGACAGCAAAACCTCAACCATCGCATAGCAGTTAACGATTGCATTCAATGCCAACCAAGGATCAAATAACCTGTTCCACAGCTACAAAGGAAAATCAAGCTTGAAAAACATTCAACGTCTCTTCATGGTTAGAACAAATCGTCGAGCCGTTGCCGAAATAACGCGTAGTCATTACTGCCTCCATGAGAACGAAATGAACGGTAGAAACACGTAACTCGCACAGTATATGAAGACTGACCAAACTGTGAACAAGATATTTCGAGAACGCCTTATATTTCCTTCCACTTGAAAAATTTCAAATGGGGCACAAATTAGGATTGATGACGTTGTTGAACTAGTACCAACACAATATCCTCTTGTATTATTAGAACAACATGAGATTGGCAAAAAGATTTGTTCAGCTAACAATTCGACGTCTTCGTCTTCTTCAGAGTCGAATTGTTCCGAGTTGACAGTCCACAGCTGGTCGTCCATCGAGGTTTGGGTGTTCGTTGTCGGATCGATGGAAAGACATCTACATATATTCGACCCTTTTGTCACCACACGAATTGAAGTAAATTAAATATAAGAGGCAAGTCACGCATTGAAAACAATCCACTTTTTCCTATATTGTCTACCTTGCCACAGAGTCGGTTTTACCATGGTTCTAATACTCAGTCGACAGTTTAGCTAACACAGATCATATGCAGTTGCACAGATTACTTTGAACCTCTTCAAAAATTGTTCCCTGCACGAAAGTTATCTGTCCAGCAATGAGATTTTTGCCACCAAGGTTATTAAGATATCCTTGATCATTGCAAATAAGGAGGTACAACAACATTCAGAATCAGGTACACACAGTGATCTTCAACAGTGTGCCTCTTCAGAAATAGTTCTTGCTTAAATGTAAATGAAAACAGAAGACGTATGAAAATACTGCGGTATATTCAACTTTTTTGTCTCTCTTTACCTTTTATACAACTCGTCCTCACGTCTACTGTGCGGATCCCAACGTTCCTCCCATTCGGTTGGTACCCTCGCGTCCACCATCCACTAAAGTCTTCGAACTTTTACGTGTGGCTTCGACCGCTGGTTGAGGATTTCCAGTTCATCTTGAATGTAGCAGAATGCTGGTGGAGTCCGTTCTCCCTGGAGTCCTGAGATAGCCAAACTAGAGCGTTCCCAACTGGATTACAGAAAGGGATTTTTTCCCAGACAACTCCGGCACCCACTTCCCGACCCTGGAGGGATGGGAGACTTGGTTGACACGGACCGGAATCGAACTAGCACCACACGCCCGATGTCGGACATCACTACCACTGGGCTACCCGCTCACTGCATTCAGCTTTTTTATTTATTTCATTCTAAACGACTTGTTTTCCACACATATAGTGCTAATTCGAGCACTTCTTGCATTTGTTTCGTTTCTTCGCATCCATCGTCCACGATGCTACTTGAGGATTTTTTGAGGATTGAGGATGTCATGAATGTCTTCAATGCTGGCCGAGCCGATCATCTCTGGAGTCCTAAGATAGGCACGCCAGAGCGTCCGCATTGGGATGCAGGGAGTTCTGCTTTCTCACAAGAACCTGGTAGCAATCTCCCGACGCCGGAGAAATCAGAGGCTTGACGATCTCGTGGCTGGTAGAACAGTAATGTGCTAATGATGGTCACCACAGGGCTACTTACCTGCAGCTTAATTTATTCAAATCATGTTGTGCAACCGACCAACAAAGAATGACGACGTCGTGGTTGAATGGCGAACATTACCTCACCATATACAATTAGAAATGACTCAAAAATGCATGGATACACTGTATACAGACGATATGCAGAACATGAAAAACACGGAAATCACCAAGAATACAAGGAGAAACTGAACCTTGAAGCCAAAAAACAACGGTGTAGCTTCATTGGAGGTACAATGAAGGGTATGTCGGCTGGACATAAAAAGGTAACCTTGGGAAACGTACATCTGAATGGTTGTCATATATAGGTCCGAACCAGTGCCGAAAGCAATGTAAATCAGGCAAGATTCAAGATTATTCGCAATATTTGAACACCATTCACGTAGAAAGAGCATATAAATTTACAGAATTAACTATGGCCCCATAAAATAGCACAACATTCGAGCAATCATAAACCGCACAAAGAACATCGGATAGTAGAGGGTTTACTGGCTAAAATGAGGTGGTAAGTAGGGCATATTGCCACTAAAACAAAGACACTTTTCGAGCAGAAAAGACACTCATAAACAACCGATTTTTTAACCCTATTTGCATTTACATGAAGCGTAGATAACCTTCCACAAAACAAGTGGGAATAAAGTTCCATATGGCACTATTGTGTGGCTAGTCATTCCTCAGATCAAACATGCTCGTTACTTCCATCTGATCCAGCCACTCATGTCTACATAACGGGCACTGTCTATGATTATTAGGTTGATGTCCGTCCAAGAAATCCAAATCCATAACATTTACAGAACGTCCACAACTGTACCAACGATTAATGCATCTGAAAAACATCTCCATAGACACCGAATAGTGAAGAAAGTGAAACACCAACATTGTGAAGCGTGAAACTCCCACACTGCAACACTTCATCTCACTCATGGATTTCCCATTAAACATAACTAATTTCAATAAACCTATTGATTAAAGGAGAAATAAATGTGAAATGAGATAGGATACTGATTCATGAAGGAAAAAGAAAGAAGTCAAGAAAAGGAGCAGAAAATAAAAACTCTTTCACCTACGACATCCAATCATTTGTTGGCAATATAAACATCCAACGGGATCATAGGGAATGTCTTCAAAGCAAATGGTGCATCTTCCGAATTCTTCACTCCTGGAATACTACTGGAGTATTCGTAACCTTCAACACACACTATACTAATGTCAAAATAATTTTTGAGTAAATGTCATTCATTAGTGCTAAATCAAAAAACTTAAGTCAAGTGCACTATGTTGTAAAAATACACATCAGCCCCTTAGTATGAGCGTTTCCCATAAGCTATGTAGTTATCGAATGATTAGTTCTAACACCTAATACAAATACTTCCCACAGTACTAATTTTCATCCGGACTTTTTTTCGGTGTTTGTGGGTAGACATTCTCAATTAATGAACATAACAAATACCTAACAACGGTATCATCAGGGTCGTCATCGTCGTCACACCCAAGGACAGGAATTCCAAAATCTAAAATAGACTAAGATAATTTCCACTGAAAAAAAAGAACATTTAAAAGGGAGACGAGGCCGTAAACGTGGTCTGTCAATGTCCTCTCTAGAATATGGTAAGTGATATAAACATATTGTAGTAACTCCCACGTCCGACTTTCATTAAATGCCTCATTATCACGTGTGATAGTGGACAGTATATAACCCTGTTATTCTGATAAGAGGGGCACATTACGCTTCCGTGTGAATTCTTTGCGGTTGGTCTTCACGCCACATACTCACTGGAAGACTTATAGAAAGCGGTGACTGTGCAGACCTGTGTTCAATGTGATTGAAATCTTGGTTTAGCGTGTTCTTTGTTTGGTTATGGACGTATTTGACCGAATAGAATGCCGTCAACTTGACCTTCCCAGGCTCTGAGGAGGGCGAAATCCGCCGGAGCGTCAGCTTGTATGTAATTAAAGAAATAAAATAACACGTCGTGTTTACTGAACAGAAGTAGAAAGCATATAAGCATATACATAAATAGACATTTGCATTGGGTAACAACTGCAAACGAGCTCTGACTATGACATTTCCACACAAAGAGCGGTAAATTTATTGAAACCTTTCAATGAAAAGATGGATCAATTTGGTTCTACATATTAAAACCTCAAACAGCACTACCGTACCATGCTGCTTCTAAAGCAGTCAATTGATTTCAGTCTTGCTATTTGTTTATTTGACCCCTTCGCACTCTTTAACGCGTAATGAACCACGAACACTGAAATGGGGGTATACCTGCTCAGTGGTTTAAGAGGTTTTTTTTACTGCGCTTTTTGATTCCATTGGTAGCTTGTCAAACACAGATGTTATGTCAAACGTGTCTCATGAAAAGCTGTTCTCTATACCTAAAAATTTCCAAAAAAAAAAAACCATTTTGAACGAGGTCATTCTGCTTAGAGAACATGTTTGATGTCGAAGTGAGTATGAAGCATAGAGAGTATGGTCAACGACCATGCGCACAAATGCCTCTGCTTCAACAGAATGGAATTCGACATATAGAGCTTTTCATTATAAGGTGATAGGATCAGTGCGATTTCTTCAGACATCTGTATAAACAGTCACCAATCCATATCATGCCTTTATTTCACATTTATTTTAGCAGCTGTAATTTAAAATTTATACATATGCATATATATGTGTATATATATATATATATATATATATATCCTGCATGCAACTCAATAATGGTGGCACTTTGCAGTTCTTGCTTACAATTAAAATCGATGGAGGTTATTCGGATACCATTCTTTAGTAGTCGAAACTAGCTACAGTCTTCACTTAAAACTTACAATTCTTAACTACAATAAGTAATCTTCGAATTGGAAATCGGTACCGGCGGCGTGCACATTGTATGACATCTACTGAACCATTTTAAACAACAATGTCTTGTACCACGACTTCATATAGAGCTAACCCTTCTAGCACGTTCAGGATCATACTGCCGATTATGCTGCTCTGTAACTGCTGTATTGTGACAGCCCATACATCGCCTCCACTTCTTGAAGTGCCTGGAGTCACTTTCTCCACGTGGGAAGTCGACGGTATTCAAGCATTCTTGCATCTACTGTAACGCAAGTAGACGCTCACTTTGAAGTGACCCAGCCAGTTTACCTCTTTGTGCCCACTATAGGTCTTCTAAGAATTCACAAGCAATTCCGAGTAATCAAGTGGAAGAATATGCGTATGTACCCAAAGCACATGTAAAACTGGTGTGTCTAAATCATGAACAGACAAAAATGCAGGCGTCTTTTGCTAGTCCTGACAGTAGGTCATCATCTTATAAACTGTGTTCACGAAAAGCTTCTGCTGAATGCATCACTTTCAGCTTTTGACCTAGCATAAATGGTCACGTTTTAAACTGTGGATAGCATAATAACGTCTTCCTTATCTTCCCACTCAAAACCGTAGTACGAGTCCGATTCTGTTGTGCTACCAACTGCCCACTATTTAGCTTCCGATGGCTGACTTTCTTGGAAAGGCTTCCTTGTTTCTCCTACAATTACCACTGAGATCAGATGCTCTCAATAAATCCTTAACCAAAGGAAGACTCACGTGGCAGCTATCGGTGGGTGTAGAAATACCTTCCTTCATCTAGCGAATCAAACATAAGCTTCAACACCTAATTAAGTACTAGTGCAGCCACCTCTGATGTACAATTTGGACAGCTTGAGTGCGTACGTATGCCTCTTATGTGGGATACAGTAGCGGAAGACAAAATAAGAACATGCATATTTCAGCTCAACGAGTTTCATCTAATGAATTAAAAAAGGATCAAGTTTTTGATTCAACCACAACAAGAATTAAACTATTTTCAAAGGTTTTAATTTTAAGTGAACTCAAAATAAAAGTTGGACCCTACCAAAGCTTTTACTACTCTTTAAAGTAAAAGCGCAATCTCTTTTACAAGTACGTCAAGTTATCAAGGTCGTAGGTCCTCGAGTTGCTAAAAATCGTAGAAATTTGTGAAAGATTGGAAGGTTTTAACCAATAGACCACTGTTTTCTCATTTATAATTGCGATGATGTGTCACGATTGTCATACGACATGGCCAGCAACAAGAACTACCTACCAAAATCCTCTCAACATAAGTAGCAATAGCCTTCCAAATTGTGCTAAGAATGCTTGGCAGGTGAATTGTAGTAAAATGTAGCATATAGTAGCAAAGTTATACTTCTAGGTGGATAAAAGAAAGCCTCCCTGATGTGGTGCTGTCCTATCTCGTCTTTCTCTTGACTGTCGAAAATTTATCACTCTTCATCGAACAAAACAGCACTTGCCGTGTTTAAATCGCAGACGAGTTTACAGCCTTTTTTTCCACCTACCGCTAAATCAACGGTGGCCGTGTATGTGTCAGATATGCAAATTCGTTTAAGAAAGCTAGTATTACAACAAAGAAATGGAACGAAAACTAGAATATATACTTCCACTTCGGTTAAAACTAAATTATGCTGTATAACCAACTCTTAAACCGAGGGAGGGATCAGAACATACTACAAAGGAGAATAGGTAAGCCCAGCCACATTATTTAAATTAGTGGTCAAGCTTCTAGATCACCACTCGTAGCAAACAACACCACTATGGGTTCTTCACCTTAAAAATACATTTGGAGCATATCTTCCATATCAATTAAAGTCCCTTAGGTCTATTAGCACATAAATCCACTAGCTGAGAGCATTGTTTCAACACAAATTGAACTGGCCCACAACACAGATTCACTCAACAAGAATCTCAAAAGCATTCTTATTTCAACTCGAAGACGATCTATTAAGCTCAGAAGAAAACGACGTGCTCCTCAAATCTCTAAACACCACGGTAGCCTCGTTCTAGAGATTCGAAAGACAAATAACTGAAGAAGCGCTCCAATTTCCAAGCACTACGTGCACGTACGCATCAGCGATACCTATTTTTATGTAGAGACTACATGTAACAATGCAGAACTATGGAAAATGGAAACAAATATAATGAAATGCGTCCCAAGATAGATTAGATTTACATTATATCTCGATCATAGCTCTACGCTATAATCTGCCTTGCAGACCAATCCTGCTTCTTTGCCGAAGTAGTATTTTACAGAAAAACAAATGTTTACCTAACATGAACAATAGACAATGCTAAACAACTGCGAAAAAAGACCATACGCGGTTATAGTATGCTAAACAACTCTTAGCAAAAAACATAGTGAAAATAGTACTTATAAGATCCTTTAGAGGCATAGGATTTCTGTGCATAAATTACCTACATCTCATTGCTCGCATGGTGCGTTGGTGCATTGGTTCCAATGCAATTCTTTCTTAGTGGCTTATTTTGCCTCATAAAACTTTTTTGGTGTTCCTTTTGTATTCAGTCGCTTATTGTGTTAGGTGTGGGCAAGCAGGATTTCGAAAAGGGTCGCATGGTGGCAAATCTACCTCTGATCCACAAAGGCGGTGACTGCCTGTGGTGGTGGAGACACGAGGCAAACTTTGGCCAGGCCGTACTCGGGACTCCAGAGTACCGTAAAGGCTAAACCAGCAAAACTCCGAAGTATGGAGAATGTGCTTGGGCTCGCACAACCAGTTAAGACGGGCCAACCAAGTATCCAAGTAAGCAGAGCTATGAAAAGGATCGTGGATTAAGGTACCCTGTAGAAACCGACAACGACTATGCATAGTAATAATGCATATTAAAAGTCGGGCCATACCATCTAGTATGAACGTATTTGACCATGAGGCAAAAGTAGTACGGAATGATAGAAGAATTTAGAATATACCATCTCTCAGTTTAGGTTTCATCATAAGGAAAAGTAAAACTATAGGAATAATGATACGACCTATTTCGAAATCCTAACTATTTCGAAAAATAAGCATACCAAGATTGTACTGTCGTTGCATTTCGTTCCGCAGCAGAAAACGCATCAAGTTCTCATCGAATGGCACCCCTTAAAAGGTGTAGACCGTGAATAAATAGAAGCTTTAACATCTTTAAATTTTTACTAAATTCCGCTTTACCAAATGACTAACAACTTTCGTGTTGACCAATAAAGTTAGACATGCACTGGGTACAACGCATACGAAGAGGAAGAGGAAAATAGCGCATTGGTTACAAAGCAATTCTTTCTAAGTGGCTTATTTTGCCTCATAAAACTTTTTTTTGTGCTCCTTTTGTAGTCAGTCGCTTATTGTGTTAGATGTAGGCAAGCAGGATTTCGAAAAGGATTTAGAACGATAGACCACATTTACACGATAACAAGGCTCAATGAAGTATCGCGAGAGTACAAGAGACGGCTCTGTCTCACATTCATCGATTTACAGAAGGTCTTTGGTTCAACTGAGGTAGCAGTCATGGAAGCCCTTGATAGTCAAGGAGTCCCTACTCAGCACATAAAGATTCTTCCTGAGCTATATAAAAATTTCACAGCCGAAATATCACCAGACTATTACGACATTAACATAAAACTCAAAACAGGGATTAGACAAGGCGATACCATTTCGTCAAAATTATTTACCGCCACACTACAGAACGTCATGCGATCATTGGAATAGGATAATATGCGAGTGAAAATCCATGATCGGCAGTTGCATCATCTTTGCTGATGACATCGTCCTTATAGCACCAAACATTAGCCATGCGGAAAGTATGCTTGACGACATGATAAAGCCTGTGGAGAGATTGGTATTCGACTAGATCTCACAAAAACGATGCCAATGCGGAGCGAATTGATTTCGCACGCCCAATTCACGCTCAACGGAATGAATATCTCCGAATGCTCCGGTTAGGTCGGGAAATCAACATAATGAACGTCTTAGCACCAAAGTTCACCAGGAAGAAGTGTTGGGAGGTTTCAAGAGCAGCAAGGATGTGTTGAAGAGAACAAAGAGTACCCGAATACGTGCTCACGTTTTCGACTACACCATTTCCTTCCTTAACGCGTGCGTCAGAGACTTGGTCGGTATTCCAAAACGCTGATCCACGTCAACGATCACAAATCAAAGACGCTGTTCTAGACGCTAAATTTTCGAAGATAACGAAGAGCGCACACATATTTATTACGTCCTAATAACAACCGATGAGCAAGAACCGTTAGCGGCTGGATTCCTTGGAATGTTAAACCACCCAGGAGAGGCCACCGACCCGATAGTCAGAGTTTTTCACGAAAAGGCTAGAAGAAAGATATGATGCTCGACAAGTCCCTAGAGCGAACAGAACCCACTGCGCCGCTCTTGCATGCGACAGGGAAAAGTGAAAGATTTACTGGAACCCGCTCGAGTCACTCGACGGCCAACGGGACTACTGGTGGTACAGGTGATTGTGTTAGGTGTGACCTTGTGAAAAGCTGTTATCGAAAAATAATGACTTCAAAAAAAGCCTATTGCGGCTAAGTTCATTTCGTCGGCAAGAGCTCATTTCTTTCGAATTTACAGAGACCTTTTCGCTCCAATAAGACGACAAACCATATAGCGGACTTCTTCGAATGCTTCGGTTTTCAAAGTTTATGGGTTTATCAGCACACTTCAACACAGTTCCACGACGATGATTAGATCAAGAGCATCAGGAAATGATTTGTTCTGGTTAGTTCATATAAACAATCTAGCATCAACACACCGAAAACACAGTAACTGACTACTGATTATTACTGAATTTAGTAGAAAGTCGACCTTAGGAACAACGTGGATATACTCGACACACTTATATAACCCAAGGTTAAGTAATCCAAAGGCAAAATAGCGTATTGAAACCACGTCAATACGCTAATTCACTGAAAATCTATGAATGAATCTGGAATCACTTCAGTTAAACGATTTTACACGACGCCATCCTAGTTTTCCACCACTTGAGACATCACCTACGTGCAAATAAAATTATGTATGAACGAAGTAGAGAACATGATTGCTATGATGCATGAACTAAATGGACATTACGCTTCCAGATGAATTCTGTGCGGTTGGTTTTCACGCGGCATACTCAGTGGAAGCCTCACGGAAAGCGGTATGTGCAAAGCTGTGTTCAACGTGATTCTTGGTTCTTGTCTTGGTCTTGAAATCTTGGTTTAGCGTTTTCTCTGCTTGGTTATGGAGTGTTTGGCCGAATAGATTGCTGCCAACTTGACCTTTCCAGTCTCTGAGGAGGGCGGAATCCGCCGAAACGTCAGCTTATTCGTGAATAAAGAATAATAATACCTCGCGTCAAGAATACGAAGAGTTAAATAGAATGAGCTTGCGGTTGACTTCGTCCAATATTTACAAATAAGATACTAAATAAACTGAAAGTCTCACTGCGTGAAATCGACGCCGATTCCAAAGACTCCTCGTCTTCACTTTCTGACTCAGGCGATGGCATTGTCTCCATTTCGCTACGAGGACCAAATATGATAATATCCTTAAGCATGATAAAGGAAATGGAATTCTAAAAGCAAGAATTGAAAAGTTATGTTTAGTGAAAAATGAATGTCATCTAACGTTTTCCACATCGTGCTCCCTATCGAATTGTTCTTCATCGCCATTATCTTCATCTCCGACAAACTGCACCTCATTTTCGTCAGACATTTCAGTTCCACTTTCGGTATGCTCTGCGGCCAAGCTTTCTACTGACATTTCACTCCCAGTATAATCATCACTATCAACAGGGTCACTTTCATCGCAATTCAGCGATGTAGGGGACAATTCATCATTATACATTTCCTAAACAATCAAATATTTCATGAGCAAAAATAAACAGATACATAGAGTCAGATATAATAAAAAGCAATAGCAGCTAATAAGAGGCAATTAACAAAAAAATTCTGAAACTCCGCTGTTAAGGCTACAAAAAGCACTTCGTACTCAGTAACTGCTAATTGTAAAAATAAGAGGACCAAGCTCTCGGAGTTGATCAATCCTGAGAGATGCGCCATGTATTCGACTTAAGCGTCGTTGGAGGTGACTGAGTGCATATCTGGCCTTTACACTGACTCGCGGTGGCCAACCGATGTACCAAGCAAGCGCTGCTATCCTCCCAGACGAGTCTGGTACGAATTTGTCGACCCTGGAGGGATGGAAGCACTGGTGAGCCTTGCGCCCGGGGATTGCAGGACGTGTATTGCAGGACGACCCGGCGACCCCGGCCACTACGCCACACGCGCCCAGTACTGCTATTCGTAGTACGTCAGATACAAACAAACGATTGGTTGACAACGGAGAGGATATTGGGTATTTACCTGATCACTATTCGTTAACGGCTGTTGTTGCGGAGTAAACAGATAGTGGGATCTGCGCCCAGATCGGATGTTTTCATTTTCTGGAAAAGAGATAGGTGGTTTTTTATCAAATAAACAGATAAAAACTGAAAGAGCCATTGGTGCGTTATATAACATGTCACATTAGAAAAACCTGTAAAAAAGTCTGAGACAGACTGTACTCGAGATTAAAGAATGAAACAAAGAGAAATGCATATATATATATATTTACCCCAGAACTCGTCAAATATGTCTAACTAAATTAAAGAATTTTATGTATAAAACGAAAAAGTCTCCTACTATACAACTATTATGAAACCACTTACTAGGACCAAACCATAAACCACAGTATGAAAATACAACGTATTTAAAAGTAAGAAACACCAATACACAGAAAATCTTACATGTAGACGAACTAACTGTAATGGGTCTCTAATATGGTGCGACTACACTTCGGATATAACTCAAGCAGGCCAGCAATAGACTTACTCTTTCATTGTCCGGTAACTTTCTTCATAAATGCGAAGTGATCTGACTGGAAGAAAGTCAGGTGCTTTCATAATTCCCGCCTATCCCTCTAGTTGGATTTCGGGAAGGATGAGTGGACCGAATTGTGATGCAAAGAGTTATAGAGTCCTGCCGGAATAACACCTATTTCTCGTCTAAACTTTACCACCTTAATGAATAAAGCGGAAAAATAGATGGTATTTAAGATAACCGCGTCCTGTATGGTTTAGTTGACCAAGGCACAGAAATTTTACTCACCACCGCGCACTATAGGCATGCATGTAGTACCTCGATTAGGAAGAGAAAGGGAGACATGCTAAAGAAATTACGGAAAATCGGTAGGAAAACACCTGGACATCTGGTGCGAAACAGATTAACCTAAATGAATTACCGACTTATGAGACTGCAACCAAGGCATGTCCATGAAATCAAAAGAATATGGATAAGAACTTGACGGAGGAGCACAGTAGAAGACGACAAGCATCACGGACCAGTCCAGCACCTCTAACACAGACTACAGGCCAAGTTGTCAATACGTACTTGTGTTTCGCTAACGCAACACCAGTTTTATACTCTGCAGCAAAAATATAGGCTTCAGTTCTGCTAAATGAAAAAAAATGCATGCAATATGCAGAGCACCAATGCACCTATGCATGTTTTCTGGCTGAAGATAGATCGGCGCACTCAATAAATATAAAGCTGTTCTCCACAGCCCAGAGTTTCGAAGAACACGTCATCTTCGAGATTAAGCAGAGATCAACGAAACGAATGGAAATGCTGAGACCTTTCCACATGCGAAAATTTAAGTATTAGGCAACTTAGTGTTACAGACAAGCTTTTCATATCCAGTAAAAGAACTACTAGAAATATGGCATAACCATACCAACTACTATTGAAAACCGACGTCAAAACAACTGTAAGTCCAAATTGATGAAAATGCAACGTATAAATGCATTTACGCACAAAAAAGGCAACCTCAATGTATTTACAGGCGGAAGAACACTTTCACTTATACTGATCCGTCTGAAAATCATTTGAATATGATGGAGAAACCCGACAAATCATAGCCTTAGCTACGCCATTTATGGAAAAAAAACGAGACTGTCATTTATAATCCCGTCTTCACTGATAACCTAGCTTCTATTACCGCTTTTTGAAAACAGCTATAAATGCATAATGAAGCAGGAAACAGTTAGAGACAAATAAAATGCTCATCACCATTTTCTGCAGTATCTTCGGTTTCTTCCCGCTCATATTGCATACGGTTTTCCTCCTCTTGAAGCTTCTTAGCAAGTTCGTAATCACGCTGCTCAATCTCTGCTCTCGACAAAGACCTGTATGAGAAAAAAAATAAGGACGAAAAATAATACGTAAGAGAGGTCACTATCTAAAGTCGGTTTCAGCAATAACAGTTAAAACTATTACGTTTGGAATTAAAACAAACCCATCATATGACAAGGATGACCCACATAGACTTCGCAGACCGTGGCCATGTGAATCGCCCTCACCTAGACGCGTAAGGAATGAGGTGGTAAGTCATAACTATATATGCAATAAACATAATTAGAGAAAATAACGAACCTATCGTCATCCTTATGTCTTTACAATGGCACAAGCAACACCTCTGCATTGTTTAGCTTACAGAGCACAGTGAGCAACGTGCTGAACAGATTTTGCAATATGGACGTAAACCTACCGTCTTTATTGAAACAACTGTTGTGGCTGAATCTCTAGCAAACTTCCTTCAGTACAGAATGCATAGTATTTTCGACATGCTTACTTCAAATCTTCACAAATGCACTGTTTAACAAAGTGTGAGACAACTTGACGACTATCGCCATCGATACCAACACCTACTATATAATAAGCTGAGAATTATGGGAAGAAATTTATACACCACAACACTCCATCGCCAAACAACGAAGGGCATATCCAAAACTACTGTGAGAAATAAGTGATCAGTTGCAAATCACAAGACAAAGTCGTCCGGAAGTATGTGGATTGGAGCGCTGTTGACAATTTCGTGTAACCGCTCGCACTGTTGTTCCCACATCTGATGTTCGCTTCGCAGCTAAAAAAAAACTTGGTCGATGTATAAAAGCTAGGAGGATAATATCACTTAATCATAATGGTGCTTAGATATTTACAAAACTGCGGGCCGCAGGTATTTGAGATGGGGATAGAACACGCTACTACTGTTTTGGGGTGCTAACGCGTTCACCACCATACCATGTGGGTCCCTCGTTTAGCTTTTCTCTCCGCAAGTTCAGGTAAACAGAAAACATGCTGAGAGAAAGGCGACACGAAGTATCAGCATGGTGTGGTGGTGAACGCGTCAGCACCCGGAAAGAGTAGTATTGCGCTCGTTCCTCACCGCAGGCACCTATGGTGCGGGTTTTGCAAGTAGCCCAGCATCATTGTGGTTGTACCACAGATAATGACGTGAAAATTGTACTAGGCAGTAAATAAAAAGCCAATAATATCATTTTACTAGATATTTTCGTAGTAAACCGAAGCACAACAAATTTTTAAATTACCCTCAGAGACGAATTAACAAGCACTGCCGAACATTCTAGAAATGAACTTCTCAAACATATTACTCAGATTACCTGCTGAAGTTCGATTTCAAGAGCCTTCTTGCTCTTCGACATGTCTCTGTTTTTGTCAACGGCTTTGGTGATGTCCTTCTGCAGTTGTTCTACATCAATGGTGGCCTTTTGGAAGTGACTTGACTTCAATGGTGCCTCGACCTGAAATAAACTGGAAATGCTGCCATTGTTAAGCGAGAGATGTTTTTAAAAGCTCACCAAACGAACAAACTTCTCCCGATTTTCTGACATCTTCATTTTAGCCATCACTTCGGGATAAATTTTGCGACAAGAGATGACCTGCAAACAATAGTATCGCTATTTTTGAGATTTATATCACCAATTTCAAATTGTAGGCCTAGGCTTAGACGACAAATACTTAGAAAACAAGCAAAAAGCTTGCTTTAAAGAACAGGAACAGAAACTGCAACTATCAAACCTCGGCAAGAATCTCTTCCGAATCACGTTTGAGACATTCGATTTCTTCACATAAACGAGCTATCTTCTCTGTAAAAGCAAAACTCTTTTAATGACACGTGAGCAAAACAGATGACTCTATCAATGAACTCACCGTTTTCACTCTTTTCAACACTTTGGACTTTCGACATAGGAAAACTCAATACTAAGACGTTATCCCGACCTATAGAATTAAAGAATTATTTAGTTAGAAAAAGGAACGAAAAGAATTCAATATGATTTATTACAATTATAAATGAAAAGAATTACAATTCAGAAATTAGGATAAGGCACATAAGAAACTGGGTTGAGAATGGGGTCAAATGGCAATCAGGCACAAGTACCGAAAAAGAAGCGCGAATTTTAAAATTGCGAACTTTCGCGCTTCGTAAACAGTTTTATCTGAGCGCGATATTGACATTGTTATTGTGATATCATTTTTCATTTAGATAATAAATGCAGTGACAGTATCTGTGACTCTTTTGTATATTTACTTACTTACTTGGATACTTAGATGGCCCATCTTCACTAATTGTGCAGCCCCAGAAAAATTTTCATTTTTTGAGGAATTTTGCTAGTTTAGCCACTGTGTTTCATTGGAGTCCCGAGGTCAACCTGGCTAAACTCTGCCCCAGGTCCCCACCACCACAAGCAGTCGCCGCCCTTGTGGATCAGAGGGAGATTTCCCAATATGCGACTTTGATACTAGGACGGTGGTGGATCCTAATATTGGTTTACTTTTAGCTAAGCTTCCTGATGGGAACGCCGGACTGCTTTCAGCTTCGGATACCCTACTGGGCGGTGATTCCCTCGCTGTACATCGCTGTCCGGGTGCCCAGGAACACCTCACAGCCATAATGAGATGGTAGCCCGTTGGGAAATTTGTATATTCAAAACCAAGAAATCTAGTGTAGTCCACCACATAATTGTTTACTGCTTCATCATGGCTCTACAACACACACGTCGAATCAATCCCGCGCCTATGACCCACCAAGTCTCCCATCCGTCCGGGGTCGGCAAATTGGTGACAGACGTGTCTGGGAGGATAGGAGCACTGGCTCGACACATCGGTAGGCCACCACGAATCATCGTAAAGGCCAGATATGCATTCAATCACTTCAAAACAATGCTTAATGAAGTCGAATGCATGGCGCATCCCTCAGGAATTGTTCAACGCTAAGAGCTTCATTTTCTGTCCTTTTATCATCATGGCTGGATATGTGCGCCTGGGTGTGGAGCTGCGATAATAAGCAAGGGGTTCCAGCAAGCTTTCCAATGCTGGGAAGAAATTCAACTGTTCCATCATCAGTGCCAGTTACAAGTAAACCATAACCGAAAATCATTACTATCCTGGTAGAAAATTAGTCACAGGGTGTAAAAGAAAGACTAAAATACTTCAGTTGAATTATGGGAATTTTGTTATTCGTAGAAGAAAAATCTTCTCTAAAAAGTGTGGCGATTCGTCATACACTCATTTGCTTCCCATCATGTCGTCTCTTCTTGGATCGGATCAGCTCAACTGACTATTCTCCATCATTATTCTTCACATCAAGGGCAGAACAGTACCAGCAACTGGTACTCACCAACTTGTTCACAAAGCAAATTCGAGGCATTCTATGATCAGTTGGATAAAGTGACCCGTAGAAAGGAATCCTCCCATAGATTTGCCGCAGAAAATTTCAGTGCCCAGGTCCCAAAGAACCAGTAAAGTTCGGGAAATTTTCGATGAAATCCTCTGCTCATATGAGCGGGAAATCAAGGAAGACTCTTCCGAAGACTGCAAGCTACTTGTCATAGGGCTCAAATCTTGTCCCAAACACCAAACACACCTTAGCTCCTCAAACGAGAATTTCCAACAGTTACACCTCCGTCACCTGTAAGGAGTTGTTCGAGAAGAGAAGAATACCAAGCCTGATCGTACTGCAACACACCAAGAACTACCGATAATCAATGGCATCTGTTGAATATCACTGCAGCAGTGCTTCGGAACAGTCAGAAAAAACTGCTGCAAGTAGCTCAAAAAAAAACAATCTAAAGTGCCATCGAGACCTGTGGGAATTCAGTGTTCCATTATCACTCACTCATGATAAGCAGAGATGGGAGTGTTACCGTCATAAGGAATGAATAAAGCAAGAGTTCTACATCAATTTTTATTCGGTGTCAAAAGTCCACCACTAATTTCCTTTGTTGAAGTCAGAGTTACGGTAATGGGTACCAAGAGTAGCACAGCTCTATAACCTGAAAACGTGAAAGTAATACTCCTCCTAGCAACCATGAACAATCGACTACTAGCAAACATGCAACATCTTTGTAACGAAACGTCCTCATACTAACGGAAAAACTCGCCCAGTGCCATCCTGTTTGACATGGACAATCACATAGGCATTCGTAGCTATCGTCCTACGTATTCACTGAGACGATCTGCAACCTTTTCACTAACAATTCGCCGTTTTCTTGATAACAACCTACGAGGTTGTCACTATACCCTTTATTCACTAAAGCTAACTTTTCGCTGGACTTCGCCTTCTTCGGAGCTCAGTAAGGTTAAATTAACTGTGATTTAAGCGAAATACAACCACAACATTGCTGAGATATTTGCAAAACTCTGGACCGCAGGTGTCTATGGTGGGGAACGAACGCGCTATATCTCAGCAACATTGTGGTTGTATTTCGCTTAGTACCCTGCCGCAAAATTATAGTAGGCAGAAAATAAAAAGGTATAACATTGTAACTGTGATTTAGTTATTCAAGTACCTCCATAAGCCAACAGAATATAGCGAAACAAACATTTCAGTCGCACTGGAAACAAAATAGCTTTTTCGCACACTCACCTCTTTCTATGTCTTCCAATAAGTATTCTTCCTGCAGACCAAGTGCACAGAGCTTACATGGAAGGAAAATGTTCCACTCTCAACATATCAGTGTGAAATATTGTGTGGGATAATACGTAATAACACGGCATTCCTCCCTGCAGTTCATTTTCGGATTCTTGGAATGTATCCAGAATGCTTCAAGAGTTTTACGCGCTGGTGTTTTCGATTCCTGTTCGGGGATTCTACTTCAAAATCTTACCCTTTAAGCTTCTGTATCCCGTGCCTGTCTAGCGGAGTATTTGGTACAACTTAAAGTTTATCGACTAGATGTTCTCTTATACGAACGCAGAGTAGTCTACCCGTTCCGCCAATGTATTCGTCCCTGCACGTTTTACAAGAGATCAGGTAAACCGTACCCGTACTCATGCAATCACCGTGTCTACCATTAGGACATATTATGCAATTCTTCGTCATGGATAGCCGGTCATACAGGCGATCACTGACTAACTGCCGTCTTGGAGTGGTCGGTCATATTTCAATCACTGTTATCCAATTCTCTGGACCGGCCCTTCTTAAACGACGTTTTATAGCCCCGCTTATTTTATTTCAGATGAAAGGCAAGATAAACGGCACGTTGTCCTCGCTATAGATATCGTTTTGCGGCGTCGTTCTTCTTCTAAGCCTATCCCGAAGAGCCACGATTTCGTAGCCATTGGAAAGGACTATTTGCCGCATCAATTTTTCCTTTCATCAACATTTTATTGGTCTTAACAACGATCCTGCAAATACCAGTTATCAACTGAATAATTACCTGATAGACTTTACGCAACTTGACGAATGTTTCACAAACGGCATTTCCATGCCATAGGATATTGTCGTTACGATTTGATGAATGTGTGAAAGGTGCAAGTAACGAAGCTTCCAATAGATTCGTCGTCCGTTCGACAGCATCAAGCATCGTAGTGGTGAGTGAATACATATTTAGCCTATACAATGACTCGCGGTTACCTACCGATGTATCAGGTCATTAAGGCAGTGCTTTAAGAAGCAAGATGGTGGTTTAGCTCCCTACCAAACGCTCTCCTCCAGTGGACATGGAAACGTCTTGGCTCTTACAGTAACTATTTCTCGAATATTTATGTGATTTTATAAACTGATCTTCTTAAGCTGACGCGAGGTTGGTACAGATCTTCGCTGTTGTTGTCGTTGTTACCAACGTGTCCAATAACTCCGCAATGCAAACCATTCTCGAGTTGTATTCTTTCTTGATAAGCTTGCACGAGGTTGATAAATATATTTATTTTCGGCTAACGTTACGACGTCTTCGTCTTCCTCAGAGCCGATGATCCGAGTCGATGGTCCATGATTGTTGTTCGTCTCGACGTTGCAGCTTCGCCTTCGTGTCGANTCGACACGAAGGCGAAGCTGCAACGTCGAGACGAACAACAATCATGGACCATCGACTCGGATCATCGGCTCTGAGGAAGACGAAGACGTCGAAACGTTAGCCAAAAATAAATATATTTATCAACCTCGTGCAAGCTTATCAAGAAAGAATACATATTGATTAGTCACACCGAGGTTTAGAGAAAGTCGGTTTCGAAACATTCTCGAGTTGCTCGTAGAGCATGAAAAGAAAATAAAAATGCACGGCTTGTCGATTGCGCAACTAATGACCCTCTTAAAACTGTGTCTTAGTTGTTCAGTCTTTAGGTAGTCTGGAAAATATTTTGCACAAACTAGAGGGTTGGCAATGGGGCAACGTTTAGCACCAAGCCTTGCCATCGCTTTCATGTCTAAGGTGGAAGCTCCAGTTCTCGATCACCGACCCTTACTCTACTGTCGATACATAGACGACTGCTTCATCGTCTGTTCCACATAAGAGCAGATGGATGAGTGCTTTGAATTGTTAAACCGACAGTCAGAGTATATAAAAATTACACGAGAAAAACCTACCGAGAACTGGCTTCCACTCTTAAACATCCAAATAAAGCTCTCAGTAAGTGGCTATGTAACAAAATGGTATCGTAAGCCAAGTAGTAAAAACATTCTCGTTCACTGCCCTCTTCTCATCCTTCACACATGAAAAGAGCACTTAACAAAAACATGTACCGTACGGCTAAAAATGTGTGTACAGGAGAAGAGGAAAGGAAGGAATCGCAAAACCTGGCACGAAAAATTGCCATTTCCAACTCATGTAACGCATGCGGCGAGGAATATATCGAGGAAACGGGTAGACCACTTTGTGTCCGCATAAAAGAACATCTAGATGGAAAAGCTAAAATCCGTTTAAACACCCCTCTAGGTACGCATAGGACACAAAAGCACAACTGCGATGA